AAAAAAATTTGAATAAAATTCTTCACAAGAAATTAATTATTTTCATAAATAATAAATATTTTTCTCCTGAATTCAATTATTTTCACGTAAATAAAATTATTCACAGGAATTCAATTATTTAAAAGAAAATTTAATAAATTTCTTCGTCAAATTTCAATTATTTTCAATTTTTAAATGAAATTTCTCGATAGAATTTGATTATTTTCAAAAAGTTTTAAAAAATTCTGAGAAATTCAATTATTTAAAAAAATTTGAATAAAATTCTTTTCAAGAAATTAATTATTTTTATAAATAATAATATTTTTCTCCTAAATTTAATTATTTTTACAAATAAAATTTTTCACAGGAATTTAATTCTTTAAAAAATTTTTTATTAAAATAACAAAACTTATCGCAGAATTTCAATTATTTTTTATACAATTTAAAATAAAATGATAGAAAGTTGCATTTATTCTTAAAATTTTTTTTAAAATTCGCCGTAAGAATTAAATTATTTTAAAAAAGTTTTGTTAAAATTCTTCAAAAAAATTCAATTTTAAGAAATATTCAATTATTTAATAAATTATTTATTTATGTATTTAAATAATTGAATTCTCGTAAAATTTTCTAATAGAAAATTGATTTAAAAATGAGTTTCAACTTTCAATTAAAATTTTAGTTATTATAATTGAATATTAAATGCAGTATAGCATGAATTTTTAAAAATAATTGAATTTTAAAAAGGTTTCAAATTAAAATCTTTGAAAATTTGAATTGTGGCAATCCTGTTATTGTTTCTCTGCGGGATATGTAAATATTTATGTAAAACTAAACAATAATGCGCTTAATGATATGGATTTGTTTGCCTTGAAAGATTTTACTTTATTAGAGACAATTGAGTTAAAATTTAATAATTAATACTACCACAAATGCTCTATTAGTGTAAAGTGAAATATTTCGTAACAAGCCATCCTTTAAATCATATGTAGGTTCAAGAGCAATTAATTCAGTTGGTATTTGCGGTTTTATACGCATTATCTTGTGCCTCGCTACCTCAGAGTACATTCATATAACGCGCATCACCATTTTCACGAGTATAATCATAAATTATAATTGAAAACCGCGAACTATAAATTATTATTCTCAAAACATTTTTAAAACTGACCGTATGAAATAAATTATTATTTTCCCAGCAATTAATTTCGTTTTTCACAAATATTCTGTCATTCTTTATTATGAAAATTTAATTAAACTCTTACTTTTTTCAAATTATTGTCAGTTTATAATAAATATAATTTTCAAAGCATTTTTCAAATTTTTGTACATCAAAACATTTTTATAAAGTTTTTTGATTTCCAGGAATAAAAAGTTTCATTTTCCGTTTGAAATTTTTTTTAAATCCTTATCCTAAATGTAACTTTTTAACCAACGTCAAAAAAAAGAAAAATATATATAAATTTACCATTTTTTTCACTGTTAACTAAAAATTATTAAATTGCAGTGAAATGATACCAAAAATTGATTTAAATATTTGTCATCAATATCAATTTGATGCACATTGAAATTTTTGATACTTTCAAGAAAACTGTGATTATAAATTTATAATTAAGAGAAAAAATTTAATAATCTGTTAAAAATTATAAAAAATCTGCAAGAATTCACAAGAGCAGAAGAAAATAATGAATATTAGTCTCGAGTAAAAATAAATTTTATTTTAAAAAGAATGAAAACTAACGAGTGCGTATAAAGATGAGAAAGATGTATGAGAGCTGCTATATACAATTTTTGTTTAATCTTTATAAATGATCATGTGAAAAATGCTTTATATTTTATTAAAATGAGTGAATGAACGAGAAAATATTGTCTCGCACTGTTTTCAAGTGGGGCAATTTTTCCAATTAGTTTCGCATTTTTCTGAAAGCATTTTCTCGCATTTTTCTATTTCTACTTCTTGAATTGTTTATCTTTTTCGAAACAGAAAGCTTTTGAAGGATAACACTTTTATTATCTATATATATATATATATATATATATATATATATATATATATATATATATACGCGAAAAAAGGAAATTGTAACAATTCTCGCGATTAATGCGTATACAAAGAAAACAAGCATTAAAAAAAACGAAGAGTTGTTTTTAATTTTTCTTTAGAGTAGCTTTCAAATTATAAAAAAGAAAAATTTTTGCAAACATGGAAAGTGGAAATTTTATATTTTTAGTATTAATAAATAAATTAATAATTTAATTAATTAATAATAATAATTAAAAATAATAATTAATAATAATAGGTAATTGAAAATAATAATTAATAACAATTAAGAATAGAATAGAAAAAAAGAAAAATTGAATAAACATTTTTCCTTAGCAGAATTGCCACAAAAAATTAATTTTGTTTATCCCTCACTTTTCCCTGACCCTAAAGAATTTTTTTTCACCTGAATTCAATTATTTAAAAAAATGTAATTAAATTTCTTTGTAAGAATTCAATTATTCTCTTAAGTAATATAAAATTCTTCACAGGATTCTATTAAACTTTTTCAAAAGAAATTAATTCTACAGTGTCAGTTAAAAGTATGAAAAATTCAAATTTTCAAAGATTTTAATTTGAAACCTTTTAAAAATTCAATTATTTTTTAAAAATTCATGCTATAATATGCTTTTAATATTCAATTAAATTAACTAAAATTTTAACTGAAATTCATTTTTAAATCAGTTTTTATTAGAAAATTCTACGAGAATTCATTTATTTAAATACAAAAATAAATAATTTATTGAATAAATTAAATGTTTTTCAAAATTGAATTCTCATAATGAATTTTTTCGACGAATTTTAATAAAATTTTCAGGGTGTCTACAATTTTTTATCAACAAAATTCCCGGTTTTTCCGGTTTTGTCCTAATTTTTCCCAGTTTTTTTTCTCATCAAATTTAAATTTTTTAATTTCGAACATAAATAAATCTACAAATGGCTTCAAAAATTTTTATCAGAGTTTTTGTAAATAATTAAATTTTTTTGTCGAGTTTTTTTTAAATTTTTTGAAAATAATATTTTTTTTAATAAATTTAATTAAAATTTTGGAAAATTATTGAATTAAACAAAAAATTTTTTTAATTTTTTAAAATAATCTTGTCTGTTTATAATTATAATTAAAAAGTTGATTAATTCAATTTTATTAAAATGTATTGATACTAATTGAGTTTCTGCAAAGAATATTTTACTATTTATAAAAGTAATTGAATCCTTCCAAGTTATTATTTATGAAAATAATTAAATGTTTTCGTTGAACTTTATTAAAATTTTTGAAAATAATTGAATTGTGGTGAACAACTTAATTATTTATAAAGATAGTTGAAATTTTGAGGAGAATTTAAAAAAAAATGTTAAACATAATTGAATGTCAAAGAAGAATTTTTTTAATTTTGAAAATAATTGAATTGTTTTTTTTTAAATTTTATGGAATTTTATGAAGATAATTAAATTCTTATGAAGAATTTTTTTTTTAAAATAATATTCAAAATAATTTAGTAAATCTGAAGAATTTTGCTATTTATGGAAATAATTGAATTCTTGAGAAGAATGTTTTTTACAGTTTTTAGAAATAATTGAATTCTTTCGACGAATTTTAATAAAATTTTTAAGAATAATTACATTTTTCGAGGAATTTGATTAAAATTGTATTAAAAATAATTGGAATTCTGCAATGAGTTCTACCATTTATGAAAATATTTGAATATATTGCGAAGAAATTTCTAAAAATAAAATTATAATTACGGTGACTAACTTTCATTGATTATTTTCGAAAAAATTTAAATAAAATTCTTTAAAAGAAATTAATTATTTTTAACAGAATGTACAGAAATTTCAATTATTTCAAAAATTTTCAATTATTTGTTTATAAAATTCAATTATTTATCAATTATTAAATTAAAATTCTTTGAAAATTCGATTTGTTAAAAAATTTTTTATGAAATTCTTTAACAAATTTAATTATTTTCAGTTGAATATCACAAAATTTCTAATAATTCGATAATTTTTTAAAAAAATTTATTTACATTTTAAATTTTAATCAGTGACTGATTTTTTACTATCAAATTAATTATTTTTAACTTATTCAAATTTAGAGAACAGTATAAATATCTATAAAAATTGAAATGAAAAGCGATTTTTTAAAAACAAATTAAAATAATAAAAGTAGTTATGAAAATAATTGAATTATTGTGAAGAAATTTATAACAATTTGTAAATAGTTGAATTCCTGTGAAATTTTGATTGTTTATGAAAAAAATTTAATGTTTGCTTAAAATTTTATTAAATTTTGTTTAAATAATTGAATTCTTTTGTAAAATTTTATTAAAATAATAGATATTGAAAATAATTGAAATTTTACTAAGAATTTTATTATTTTTAAATAAGATAATAATTGAAATTTTGATAAAATTTTTTTGAATTTTTTAAACATAATTTAAATTCTGCGAAGAATTTTATTACTTTTGAAAATAATAATAATAATAATAAGAAATAAAAATAAATATTTGTTCCTTTGTTAAACGCATTTTTGGAGAATTACACATTAATTTTCCAACGTTAAACATGAAATGAAATAATTAAAAACATTTCGTGTAAATGCGCGGGGCTTTTTGAGAAGAAAATTTTCTCGAATAATTTGAATAGCAAAGACGATTGCAATCCTTCCGCGGGGCAACCAGCCGGAAGCTAATAATCATTCGTAAAGAACTTTCAAACCTAAAGTAATTTATTATAAACTTAAAATCTGCAATTTGCATCCCTCTTATATTATATATATGAGTGAAGAAAGTTCATCATTGAAACTTGCTAAAGAGAAACTTATTAAGGTGATATAAAGAAGCATTATTTAATTTTTTTCCCCTAAAATTTTTACTTTTATTATTGTAATAGTATTAAATCTCCTTATTCTATTCTTTCATTATTATCAAGAAATTTTTGTTTTTGTCTTTGTTTTATTGCTATAAAATGTATATCTTTATAATTGCAGAAATCTTCGAGTTATTGGAATTATTAAATTGAAAAGTTCCTTTCATCTCATGAGAAAAAATGGACACGCAGACAGAGGTAATTACTATCTATATTCTACTCGTTTCATAATTAAAACAATTGCGGTGAATTATTTCAGATATTAATTATTATTAATATAATTAATTAATATAATTTTTACACTGAAAAAAATGTATTTGATTCAAATAATTTATATTTTTTGAGTCAAGTAAATATTTATTTACTAATAGACAAGTAATCGGTTATTTGAATCAAATTATTATTATATTATTATAAAATTATTATTATTATAATTTTAATTATGTTTAATTATATAATTAGCATAATTAATTGTTTCTCACTTTTTGTTAATCAAAAAAAATTTGTTTTTTTAAATATTATAATAATTATATTTGCGATAATGAGAGATTGATATCTGGTTTATATTTATAAATTGAATAGAAAAATTATTTCTCTCATTGATTTTAAAATACGTGGAGTTTGCTAATTACTTTGTCGATTAATTTAATATCTGTGTATACGTGTGTCAGTTTTCATGGAAAGGTTGTTTCAAATAACCATTTGCTGCTTCAAAGCAATTTTTTCCTCTTTTATTCAGATATTAGTCATAGTAATTATGTAAAAAAAAAATTTAAAAAAAAAAATATTATGAGAGGCTACAAGATGATTTATTTTAAAGCGTCACTTGAAACTTATTTGTTTCATTCAACAAATTTCAAATTGCAGGTCTTTTTTTTAGTGTTAATTTTTTACATGAAATGAAGAAACTTTTAATTTATTTTTACAATTTATTTTTGAACTAAATTGCAAATTTTAAATTTATTTATTTATTTGAATAATAAATAAAATTCTAATCTGGTAAAATATAATTCGAATTATATTTTACAAAGAAATCGATTCGTCGAACGTTTCCGAATTTCCTGGAAGTGGAATTAAAACTCCAATATGGCGTCTGCAGTTCTCAACAGCTGACTCTCATCTCAAATTTTATTTTCGTCTTTTTTCACTGTATATAAAAATATTATTTTTATTAGTCAAATTCCCAATTAATAATTATTGGTTTAACTAGCAACAATTCGCGCGCTGCTAACTTTTTACTTCATTTTTTAAATAAAATTATCAATTTTAAAAATAATAGAATTTAAAAATTATAAATTCAAATTTTTGTTGAAAACACTAAAATAATTCAATTTTGAAGAAATTGCAAATAATTTATTGTAGAAATTCAATTATTTTCAAAAGTAATAAAATTCTTCTCATAAAATTCAATTATGTTTAAAATTAAAAAAAAAATTCTCGTCAAAATCACAATTATCTTTGTAAATAACAAAATCTTTCCCCAAAGTTCAATTATTTTCAAAAATAGCAATAAAATTCTTGTCCTAATTTCAATTATTTTCAATATCTACTATTTTAATAAAATTTTCCGAGAAAAATTCAATTATTTAAAAAAAAATTTAATAAAATCGTACACAAACATTTCATTTATTGTCAAAAATATTAAAAATTCCACAGGAATTCAATTATTTACAATTTTTTTATAAATTTCTTCGAAATAATTCAATTATTTTCATAAATTATTAATTATTATAAATTATTATAAAACAAAGAAATCGATCACTCCGAGTCTTCGACTCGGAGCAATCAATTTCTTCATGTTTTATAGCAAAATATTTTTATAAGTTGTTTAATATCAAAAAAGGTTTGAATTTGAAATTTTTGAATGTCTTAATTACTGTGGAAAAATAATAATAATTAAATATTTATTTAAAAAAGAAATTAATGATGTTTTTGAATAAGTTTACAATTAAAGAAATTCGTAAAAATTTAATGGAACATTTTTATGAGTAAAAAAAAAATTTTTTTTTCAATAAAATCGACATTTGAAAGAATTTTAATTTAATAATGAAAAAAATTGAATTTTACAAACAATTTTACATGAAATCGATTTTTTATAGAATTTTAATTTTATAAATTGAAAAGAAATTGAATTTCTTAAAGAATTTTCCAAAAAATTGAGTTTTGAAAGAATTTTAATTTCATAATTGAAAAATAATTGAATTTTACATACAATTTAACAAAAAATTAAATTTCCAAAGTATTTTAATTGAATAGTTAAGAAAAAATTAAAATTTTCCAAAAACTTTTTCTGAAAAATTGATTTTTTCAATGAATTTTAATTTAATAATTGAAAAATAATTGAATTTTAGAAAAAAATTGTTCAATAAAATCGACTTTTGAAAGCATTTTAATTTAATAATTGAAAAAAATTGAATTTTACAAACAATTTTACATGAAATCGATTTTATATAGAATTTTAATTTTATAAATTGAAAAAAATTGAATTTTACAAACAACTTTACATGAAATCGGTTTTTTTTAAAGAATTGTAATTAAATGAATTGAAAAATAATTGAATTTTTTAAAGATTTTCCAAAAAATTGTGTTTTGAAAGAATTTTAATTTCATAATTGAAAAATAATTGAATTTAACGAATAATTTTCTTAAAAAATCGATTTTTTAAAGAATTTTAATTTAATAGTTGAGAAATAATTGAAATATTCAAAAAAATTTTTCTGAAGAATTTATTTTTCAAAGAATTTTAATTTAATAATTGAAAAAAATTGAATTTTAAAAACAACTTTACATGAAATCGGTTTTTTAAAGAATTGTTATTAAATAAATTGAAAAATAATTGAATTTTTTAAAGATTTTCCAAAAAATTGTGTTTTGAACGAATTTTAATTTCATAATTGAAAAATAATTAAATTTAACGAATAATTTTCCTAAAAAATCGATTTTTTGAAGAATTTTAATTTAATAGTTGAGAAATAATTGAAATATTCCAAAAAATTTTTCTGAAAAATTTATTTTTCAAAGAATTTTTAATTTAATAATTGAAAAATAATTTAATTTAAAAAAAAAATTTCCAAAAAGTCGATTTTTGTAAACATTTTAATATAATGATTAAAAAATAATAGAATTTTAGAACAAAATTTTCAATAAAATCGACATTTGAAAGAATTTTAATTTAATAATTGAAAACAATTGAATTTTACAAATAAAATTTATAAACATTTGTTTCGTTTATTTTTTAAAAACCTTTGAATTTTATTAAAACAATTGTAATTAAAAAATTGAAATAATGTAAATTATTCCCCTTATGAAAATTGAAAATTTTCTACAAAAATATTAAGAAACGGGAATATGTAATGTTTTTTTCCCAAAATAAAAGAATGAGTTTTTGAACAATATTGTTATTGAGAAATAAAAATTATGCATAAAATGGGTATTTATTTACTATTTCTTAATCATAATTTTTTAACAAATTTTCTATTTTTTTTATAAATAAACAAGAGAAAAATTTGCAAAATGGGTAAATTTTTCATTTATTAATCACCACTTTTTTTTATATTTTCTAATTTCTAATACCTATTATTTTATTATGAATTATGAAAAAATACCTGAATATTTTCGATTTGTCAAGACAAATTTTTTTTAAAGAAAAAAAGAACAAAAGAATACACAAAAACTAAATTCAGGTGTGGACAGAATGAGAGAATGAATAAGACGATTATTATAGTTAATAATAATAATGATAATTTCAACAATGAAAACTTTTGGATTTTAGAAGAAATTCATAAGTTTGAATTTTATTTTTTGGTCATTAGAACAGAAGAAAAAAAAATGTGCGCGTGACGCCTCAAAGCCACGTGTCAACCGCGTTTTCAAGTGTCTTTTTATAAAAAGAAAACATTTTTTGTTCCTTTTGATTTATTTCTTTTTAGTGGAAATAAAATGGCACGTGTCTGCGTGAAGTAAAAGGGATCTACAAGGAAGACCCTGACTAAAAGAGGGAAGAGGATTTATGCTTCACGGCATAAATTCCCCATTGATTTCATTCATAAAAAAGTAAATATAACAAATTTTAATTAAACTTATGTACATATATACGATAAAGCCTGTTCCTCCGATATTTATTTTGTAAAATTCTTTCACTATATTGTTTGGAAAAATTTTTTTTTCTCTTATCTATTATCGAACATTCCGTAAACGAAAGTTTGGAATAGGAATGTTATAAAAAAAATAAAAATAAAAAAGTTGTAATAACTTGAAAAAAGAATTTCATCTGGACTATCGGATTTCTAAAATGTAGTTCACGACGGCGAGAATTTATATCCACAAAAGAGGATCTTTTCACAAGAAAGAATATGGCTCTATTAGAGCTGTTTTCAAAAGTGGATAATTTTCACACTCCAGTTGTTCAATTTTTTTTTTCTTACGAGAAATTGATAAGGGAAAAAAAGTGATCTAAAATCGTTTTTCTATGAAAAAATATATTCTTCTATCTGTGTGATGAGACTTGATGGAGTTTAATTTTTTGATTTAAAGGAAAAAAAATACTTTTTTAATGTATTAGAAATAAAAAATAAAGTGTAACGTTAGTCAGCTGTTATAAAGAGAAGGCGTCATATTGAAGTATTTTATTCGAGTTGGGAAAAATTCGGAAACGTTTCAATGTTCATAAGTGCTTGAATTTTGTTTTCTAATCGAGATTAAAATTTTTCTCCCTTCACGTGACTGAAAATTAGTAATTTAGTAATTCTTAATTACGTTAATTATTTTCCATCCTACTAAATTGAAATTTTATTTCGAATTTTCTAAAAGTTTGTTTTCAACTTTATCTTAAAAAAATAGTGTCAAATATATTTTTTTTGTGAAAATTAGCATGTAAATAAATAAAGTAAATAAAATGAGAATTATTAAATTACTATAATATACAAATTCAAATGATATTTTCCACTATTTGCACAATTTATTGCCCTACTTGTCGTCGAAACTAAATTTAAATAATTGAAATAAAATTGAGTTTCATTGTTGCAAATTTGTAGGTCACTTTGAAACTAAAGTGGACGCGCTTTCCTCTCTTCTAAAACGAATTTTCTTTCTCCTTGAAAAATATCTATATATAAAGTTTTTTCAATGATTGGAAAGCGTTCGAGAGCCTATAAAAATCTATGACTTTATTGTTTTATTTTATTTATCTCGTTTTTTTTCTGTCACCTTTTTAAATATTTCAAAAAAAAAAAGAAATCTAAACTTTAAGGGAAATTTTAATACCAATTTTTTGTTTAATTTAATTTATTGTTTATTTTAATTAAAAATATTTGTTAAAAATTATTTTTAAAGTTATTAATTATTATTAATTATTATCAATTATTGACATTTATCAATTATTATCAATTATTATCAATTATTATAAATTACCTATTATTAATTATTTTAAAATTATTGTTATTAGGAATATTTCAAAATTTGTAAATTGAAGAAAAAATTATTAGAATTTTTATACAGAATATTTGATTAACGATAAGAAGGAAGGAAAAATTAAATATTTAATATTCTTGAAATTAAATTGAGATTCAAGTAGTAAGTCCAAAATGGTCGGTCAGACTACACAATGAGACCTTTACTACTGAAAATATATACATATCTCAAAGGCAGAATCCGACAAATAATAATCGGAATAAAAGTTAATCCACTTTCATTATTTCGAATTTTAAATGAAGAAAAAAATAAAATTTACATTCATTCTGTTTGAAGCGTAAAGAATTTAATTTTCTTTTAAACATTTTAAACAATTTAAATTTGCATTTGAATAAAAATTACAATACATATTGTCAATAAAAGACAATTAATGTGACTTAATTCTTGTTAAATTAATATTTGAATACTTATTTATGTTTCCACAGGATTCAAATTATAAATAACTTTAATGTACAAACTTTTTAAAAATTTAACTATTTCTAAAAATTAGAACTGTAATATTTCCAAAATTCAATTATTTCTTTGGAATTTTTTTGTAATAAAATTATTCAAAACTTTAATAAGGTTTTAGGGTAATAACAAAATAAAATTTTTTTTAAAATAAATATTGAAATATTATTGTAATTATATAAAAATTAAAATTTTCAAAGATTTCAATTTGAAAATTTTTTTAAAATTAATTATTTCTTAACATTGAATTCCTGTAATGAATTTTATCAATATTTCTGGAAATAATTGAATATTTCTTCGAATGATTTTAATAGAATTTTTAAGAATATTTGCATTTTTCAAGAAATTCATTTAAAATTGTATTCAAAATAATAAAAATCTTGCAAAGACTTTTTTTTTATTATTTAGGAAAATAATTGAATTCCTATAACGAAAACAATTTTTTTAAAATAATAATTTTACTTTATTGAATAATTTTTTTATTAAAAATTTTGAAAATAATTAAATTCTGTTTAGAAGAATAATTACAATTGTATTGAAAATAGATACATTTTTATAAACAAATTTTATCAAAATTTTAGAGAAAAAATTGAAAAGAAAATTATTTAAAAACATTTAAAAATAATTTTTGTTGGTATAATAAATTTCTTTTCCAAAAATTTTATGAAAATTGTATTTCAAATAATAAAATTTCTGTGAAAATTTTGTATATTTTGAAGATAATTAAATTTTTGCGTAGAATTTGATTAAGGTTTTTTTTTAAATAATTGAATTATTTTGTAAGATTTTATTAAAATTCTAATAAAAAAATTGAATTCTTGCAAGGAGTTTTATGAAACATGTAAAAGTAATTGAATATTGTTTCGAAAAATTTTTTTCATGAAAATAATTGAATTTCTGCGAAGAATTTTATTATTTCGGAAAATAATTGATTTTTTGCAAAGATTTTTATTTAAATTTTGAAAAATAATTGAAATGTTAAGAAGAATTTTTATAAATATTTTTAAAAATAATTTAATTCTTCTGTAAAATTTTAATAAAATTTTAAGAAAAAAAAATTTTAATTCATGCGAAGAATTTTATTAAAGATTGAAAAATAATTGAATTTTTCCAAAGAATTTTTTTTATCAAAATAATTGAATTTCTGCAAAGAATTTTACTATTATTTCGGAAAATAATTGAATTTTTGTAAATAATTTTAATTACAATTTTGAAAATAATTGAAATGTTAAGAAGAATTTTATAAATATTTTTAAATAATTGAAATCTTATTAAGAATAATTTTATAACAATTTTTTAAAATAATTGAATTCTTTTGTGAAATTTTATTAAAATAGGTAGTAGATATTGAAATTAATTGTATTTTAGCGAAGAATTTAATTATTTGTGAAAATAATTGAATTCTTGCGAAAAATTTTTGAAAATAATTGAATCGTTCCAAATAATTTTTTTTTTAAATTTTCTGAATTGTCTTATTTTTTAATTATTTTTAAATTTTATTAAAATTTGTGAGAAAAATTTTTTTATTTCCACTATTAGTGGATTTAAAGTGGTACAAATTCTCAACAAAAAAATGAAAATGGTAGAAAATTAAATTCCTTACTACTTCCACCCGAATTTAAAATTTAATTTTATCTTTTCCTTTTGAAAATAAAAAATAAAGCCATTGAACTAAATTTTTGTTTTAACTCTCCGTCAGATTCTTCCTTGAATCTCTCAACTTTTTCCTAGAAAATACTTTTATTATAACTGTGAAACTTTTTATTATAACTGAAAATCATTCTTTTTTCCTGAAACTGGAAATATTTTTGTCGAATGTGTTAAATGCACGGTTTTTCAATTCTACAACTTTTGCACTTTGTTGACAATAAATTTAATGCGGTTTGAATGAAATATTTACGTGACAAGGTTACTAGCGCTATTCATTTGTAGCCGTAATGCTTTTTGAGACACGTGACAAGAGACACGTCAGATACACGATGTGGCTTTTTTTTATTTTTTATTTTGTATAGAAATAGAGAGAGAGAAAATGCGTTTTCTTCGGAAAACGAATGTCTCTCATATATATTCCTGAAATGCTCTAAGAAAACTAAACTCTATAGTTCTCATGGATCTCTATGATTTCTCATCTAGGAGATTTTCTCTTATACACATTTTCCATCTTATAACAATTTCACAATTATATTCTCCAAGGAACTCATTTTTCACATTGTGACTCGGGGGTATATTTCCATAAAAACCTTTAGACCTCAATTTAAAAGTAAATTTGTCTTGACAATCTACTAAATTGAATTTGAATTATAAACAAAATTTTTTCAAATGTCAAATTTTTTATTTCGCGCGAAATAATTCCCATTTAACTAAATGGGAATTTTTCACTTCTGTATATTTTTTATTAATACATTTAAAAAAATCAAATCAAAATAATTTATTAAAATTTTAATATCGAATTGGAAAATAATTGTAAAATTATTATTTATAATTTTCTATTTATATATTTAATTTTCTATTTAGAAAATATTGAATAGAAATTCGATATTTTTTATTATTCAATTATATTAAAAAAGAAAAGATGTATTGTTTGCAAAAATTGCTAAAAATTATAAAGAAAGATATTTAAATTATTTTTTTTTGAAAAAAATTAAAACAATGAAGTACTTAAAAAGAAAAATTGTGAATGAACTTAAAAGTTTCTTTACAAATTGAGAACATAAAAGGAACAAAGTTTTCAAATTGATAAAAATTATCATTGTCTACTAAGTTTTTTTAATTAAATAATAGATAATTTGCTATGCAGCATCTTTTAAAAGTCCTCTTTAAGTATAATAATAATATTAAGCGATCGTATTAGTCGAAAGTTTCTGCATCTTAAATGATCTGTCACGAAGATGCTTTTAAAGATAATCCCACTAATCGCTAAACTTTTCATTAAGAGAGTCAGTATTTTTCAAGGAAAACAAAATTTACTCTTTAAAAATGGAATTTTCTTTTATTTTAATTAATATATATATCTAGTGGTAAAGAAAATGAATATATAAAAGAAATTTTCTTCTGCGCAGAAATATCCCTATCAAAGCTCTGCTATTTTGTTGCCAAGGCTTTTGTACTCGATGTTAATTAGATTCTCAAATGGAAGTAAGATTTTAATTACAATCTTTGTTTACAAAATGGCTCAAGTTATATCTTTATTGTCTATTAGTTTAATAATATTACCAAGTAAATTGTTTTTTTTTTTATTATTCAAAAGAAGTCTTTTTTTTAAATATTCAGAAGCGTATTTTCATTCTTATAAAGTTGCGAAGGAAAAGAAATTTCTTTCTGTAAAGAAACTTATTCTTTTTGTTGAAATTAATTCTTTGGAGCAATTTATAATTGGAAAATTATTTTGTTTAAAATCAGAAGCTGAAAAACAAATCGTAAAATATATTTTATGTCATAATAGAAATTGTTATTCTTACCTAAAGGGACTTGTGCAAATATTTCTGTTCTTCACAATAAACGCAGTAATTATTTTTCTATCATATCCATAATGATAATTCAATAAATATAGTGAAAATTTGTCGAAATTGTAATTGTAAAACCGTAACCCAAGCAGCACGTAATATTGGGAACATTCCAGCAATATGGCACAACATTGAGGCAATATTGGTAATGTTAAGGCAATGTTCCCAATATCGCTGTAATATTACGTGCTACTGGGGAAAACTTGTAAAAGATGTAAAATTTGTCGAATTTGGTAAACATAACCTAACTTTTTGATTTTTCGAATATTTGGACAATGATACTTTTTCATTCCTTCCAAAATAAATCATATTTCACTTCACTGTTACTGCTTAACACGTCCAAGAATAGAATATTAGAGAATATTGATTAAAACAAACTGAAAATTACAAAAAAATACACTTTGTAACGTAAAAATAAACGGACACTTTGACCACCCCAGTCCGACTCACTCAATTTCCTATAGATCGCATCGGCAAATATATGACCACCACTTGCATAGTACTAGCATAGTCTCCCAGAGTGCGCAACTGTGCATCAGCCCGTCATTAACACTGACATTAATGGAATAAAAATATAAAAATTATTTAAATTCAGTTATTTCAACTTGATTTAATGAATGTCTGATTAGAAATTTAATGTAATACGTAATTATTTTTTATGAGTACAAAATACTTCAGAAATATAATTGCAAAAAAGAATAAATAAAGAAATAAAATTTATTGACTGATACATTGAAATTAAACTTACTGTATAAATTTTTCTAAAATTTGTATAATATTTAATTACAAAAATACAAATAATTGCTTTCTAAAAATTCTGTATTACAATTCATTTAATAATATATGATTTTTCAATTTAAAATTAAATCCAAATATAAAAATAAAAAATAACTTTGTGTAACATTTTTCTATTGTAATACGTTTGATTGTAAGATTAAAGTAAGTTTAAACAATTTCAATACTCTAGGTATATAGATATATTATAAATATAAAAGTGATAAAGGAAATAATAAAGGTTACATATAATATTATGAAAAAGTACATAGGTATACAGAATAAATTTTTCTTTATTATATACATACGTACATATACATGCATAAGAAACTTTGTATCTGAAAACATAAAATTCTTTTTTAGTCAACTTGTGCAAAGTTTTGCTGCCTTTTTCTTATAAATACTTTGCTTTTTCAACAAGGCCATTTCCTGATTAATATACTCCCTCATTCTAATTTGTAAGTAAGTTAATACTACGAAACTTAATAGCTTGCTGGCATTGTCAGGGTGTTCTTTACAAGAAAAATAAATTTTTATTGGCTCTGAGGACATTTTGTTTAAAATGATGTCTACACAGTTACGATGTTCTCTATGTTGCCGGAATAAATATTCGATCTCTAGCACAATATCGTATAATTTACGGTTCGGATGTATAAGTTCTTGTAAGGGATTTATAAAAATTTCGTAACTGCGTGGTAATCTATTGGATGAAAAAAATAATGTATCTGTTGCAATATTTGATGTAGACATGAAAGCATTTAAACATATTGAACATTTTTCTCGGTCTTTTAAATATCTGCATACTCTTTCAGTCGTATAAAATAGCAAACAATCTACAATTTCTTGAGAGAAATAATCATGATCTATATCACGTACAAAATCATTAAAATCTGAATCTTCATCCTCAATTACAACTATAAGTTTTTCTTTAATTTTTTCAATTGAGCTTTTTTCCTTTGAATTGTATAATTCTTTTAATTTTGTAATTGTAATTAATGGCTGAGGAGGATCAATAGTAAAATCGTTCGAACAATTTCCTAATTTCGGAGGTGTTAAAATACAGTGTACAGATAAAATCTTATACAACTGTAGAAATGTAGGCGTACACGGATGATCATTTGTACCACCCGCGGATCGAACGGTCCCGAAAAATCGCTAAATAAACAAGGAAAATATAAATTAAAAACAGAAAAAAAACAAGAATATTTCAAATCAATAAAACGGAGTAATGATGCACGTCGATCGACTCTAGTTTGAAAAAATCTCACAATTTCGAGAACCTTGTAAGACAAAAATTTAATCTTTCTACCTTTTTTGTGTAAAAAATCGACCTGCATCACTAAAATTTTTACCAGGATATAAATTTATCCATTTCAAATTTGATTAATGAAAAACCACAGCAGCCACGGAATCAACTTAAAAAATCCTAAAAAAATTAATTAGGAAGACACAACTATATAATATTCTAATGTCACAAAATGTATTAAGAATTTAAACACGTTAATGATTCAATGGTTTAAAAAATTCCTTGACGTGTTCTAAATTAAAATAAAACCTAATATTTCCGAGCCTTCAATAGTCTGCAGTATCCTATATAACAGCGTATAATTAAAAAGGAGCTACAGCTGAAAACAAATTAAAAATAAAATTATATTACTTGCTAAATTTTTCTACTTAAATCAGATATCTATTATTTTAATTACACTTGTTGACCAAAAAATCAGCAAATAAAAATAATTTTCTTTTCGTATTTTCAATTAATTTGAATAAGAAAATGTATTTAAATACTGATTTAAATGGAAAAATTTTATAAATTTCAATCACTGCAAACCTGAAATCAAAATATACTAATTATTTCAATAACTATTAAAATAAAAAAAAATATATTTTCTTAGAAATATAAACGAAATGTTATTCTTGATAACATCTTTTTAATACTCCTCAATATCAAAATATTTAAAAATTAATTTTTATGTTTATTAATAAATTTCACTATATTTTGCAAAGTATTAGTTAAAAATTTTATTTCATTCTCAATCGTATTTAAAAGTTAATGAATTTATTTAAATGAAATCGAGAATAACATTTCATTTAAGAGAAATATTTGATTGACTATTTGTGTAAATCCAAAATAGAATTATATTAAATTACAAAATATGAACTTGGAAACCTTTATACCTCTAAAGGATCTTGATTTATACGTCCAGTCAAAACATATGGAAATCCATGTTTCTCCAATAAATCTTTCGACAAACCTATGGTCGAATGAATGGAAATTCTCAATCCTGTCGTAGAGCTTTCTGTAAAACATTCTTCTCTTCTTAATTTCCCATCAAATACTAGTTGTTCCCAGTCATTGAGCCAACTTAAGAATTGGAGTAATTTCTATAAAAAGAAATATTTATTAATTCAATACTATACTATACTATACTATTTTAATATATACTTTAAACTATTTTAACAATATGTAATTCTCTTACCTCATAATTTGGTGAATCTATTCGAAGTCCTTTCTCTGGATTTGTTATGTTTAAAATATCAAATAAGTTGTTTATTTTTAAACAAAATTCTGCTGTTGCTTCGCAGTTCTTAAACATATCCGGGTAAACGGAAGCTCCTTTTAAAAGACTTTCAGCCATTGTTTTACTGAACATCTAAAATACATTGAAAGTTTAGAACACTATTGGTATATTTATATTTATGAAAATATAAATATATAATTACCTGTACTGCTAAAATGACTCGCATTTTGGTCATGTTATTTGGATCGAGGTGTTCTGCCGTTAATTTAGGATGCCATTTTCCTGTTGCATGATATTTGTCCACTTCAAATACTTTTCTGAAGTATTCCCAATCTATTTCTGGATCTGTTAGATTTACCTGAAATAAAATAATTATTAAACATATCTATATTTAAAAAAATATAGTCTTCTACAAAAATATATATTTATGATTTTTATACCCGCAAAGTTTTCTTGTCGTGCAATCGATTGCGCATACTTTTTATCAAATGGACAATATCAGCAAAGACGTAAATTCGACGATTTTCAATAGTCGGGTGAGCAAAGCTGCATTCAACATTTTTGAGATCTCCACTTACTCCAAAAATAGACCAGAACTTTCTATTGGCAGAAGCAGAATCTGACACCACTCCATGTACTTTTGCACCGGCCTGTTCTAATAAACATATTGCTTGAATAATCAGTTTTGCTAATATTGTACCAACCACTGGTCCCTTTGAAACAAAAACAGCAATTGGCTGTGAGAAAGATTCCATTAGTGAATGGAACATTAAAACAAGTCCGTGATCTGCTTTATCAGTTATTTTCACTGACTTGTTTAATTCTTCGTCCCCAAAATCTGTAAGACCCAAAATTTTCATTTTCTTTTGATCTAGTCTTAAATTTTTTCTAGTCCCCATTTCGTCCACTAACAAAACTCCATGTTTGTATTCGTCAGGCAATTCCGATAAACGCTCATTCAATAATTTAAAAAACGAGTCGTCAAATCCGCAAGGCGTTTGGATTAACGATAAATATCTGTTTTAAAAGAAAGGTTTAATTATTAGATCAAGAAAAATGCTTCTTAAATTTAAGTTGCATTTATCGTAATGTAAAAATATTATTTAAAAAGATATGAATTTGTTAAACTTTATATTACCTTCGAATGGTGCTTGTTGCAGGTAAAGGTAAAACCTTATTATCTCTCAGAAGATTATAAGTTGTTGGTGATTTTGTATGGAACAACAAACACAAAATAATCCAATCTTCTGTGTAACGGCGACCTTTTGCATCCTTCACTTTCGAAGCTGATAAAATTTCATTAATGACAATTCTCGAATTTTTATTTACTTTTAAATCGTCCATTTTTGAGTCTAAATTTTTGTCCCGAAGAAGGGACATTTCTTTTTTATTTTCCTTGAGTTCCTTTTTGTAGTGTCCACAGAGACTTTTATAATTTCCTAAGTTTTTATTAGATTTATATAATCTACTTCTAATTAAATTTAATTTGTACTTTTTTGTGGGACTCATTTTCAAAACTATACGTCGCTGCTCATTAATTTTCTTAAAGCGCATAAATTTTTTTGCGAGGGTCTTCTTCGCTTTCGAGCATGTTTCACATGATAAGCGCTTTTTACTAGTGATTATTAACGAACATTTTGTATGTCTCAAATATCCTGCTGAGTCGCGAACCGCAAATGAGTTTTCTATGTTCTGGATAGTATTTGGTGATGCACATCCCAAACAAACTTTAACTTTATTGAAATTTTTAATAATTTCTTCCAGTTCAGTAATTGTCGACACATAGTTGGTATTTAAGCCAAGTTTTTCCAATGGCAAGTTTATGCCGGACACCTTTGCTACAATTTGCATGTCATTGTAAATGACAAGTTGTTTTGCAGTAAAGAATTGAGGCTTATCTTCTCTCATTCGAGATATGCATTCAGAGTATTCAATGCATTGAATATCTTTTTCACTACGTCGTCGATTCCATGATATTGGGATGTTAACTTTATTTTCATTTTTAAACAGCGAATTGAATAAATCAATTCGCTCCGAAAATTTAGAATCTGTTTCATTTTCATCTGTTGTAGTTGAACTCTCATCTACTTGAGATTTTGTGGAGTTCTCTGATTCAAAATTATTTCCATTTAGTGGCATATTTTCGATTTCTTCGTGAAATACATTTTCTTTGGATTCTTCGACTTTTCTTTTTTTTATATTTAATTTTTCATGATCGGTAGATTTCGGTGTAAACTCTCTTTTTTTTGGCGACTTCCGTTTTTTTCGCGATTGGGACAGATATGATGGGCAATTCGGAAATTGTGAAGGAACAGCTCCTTTCTTTAAATGAGGTT